AGAAATGCTATTCAAATCCTTTGCTCATTTTGAAGTTGTTTTTGTTTTTTGTTGCAGAGTTGTAAAAGTTCTTTATTATCCCTGTTGCAGGTACTCAGTCTTTTTGTTTTAGTGCAGAAGCAATCATAGAAAACATGTAAACAAATATTTTCTTTAAGTGAAAAGTCAGTGGCACAAATATTTGGCCTGCACCTGGAAAGCTATAGCTTATCAGTCCTGTTCTAGGACAGCTGTTCTCAAACATTCTGTTCTTAATGCCCACAGTAAACCTTTATTTAGGACTCCAACAATCTTTTGTTTATTTTTATATTTACTGTATTAGAAATTATGTGAGGAAATATAGTAAATTTAGTCATTTGTTAAAACTTAGAAGGAATACCCTGTTGTATGTTAGGTCACATAACAGCTTTATAAAAACAGTTATCTCTTCCCAGACTGTTAAGAGTGTAATTTTACTTGTTTGTGAACCTCTTTGTTCTCTGACTTTAGGTACCTGGGGTCTCATTTCTGCTTCCTCACTAAGACTTTTTTTAGAACCCTTCTGGATACTATGTTACTCATAAGAGGCTTACTCAGAAAGGTAGATAATACATTAACATTAACAAGAGATTACCTGTAACCTTCCTCCTCTCCCCACACGTGTCCCAGATCACTCTTCAGTGGCATTTCTCTTGGGCAAAATTAGCATCTTTAGCAAGGTTTGGTCTTTCCAGGGTCTCAGGTAAATCTAGTTATGAAGAGAACTTTTCTGTGGTTTGGGATTGTAATCATGCCCATCTCTCCATGACGAAGAGCACTTGTCTTGCTGTTCTCTAGCCGTTCTTTGCCTAGCAGTTATACTGTACCCATGTCCTGTGGACTTGTGTCTCCTGCCTGCTCACAGGGGTCCTGTGCAGACATCATCTGCTGCCCCACTCATAGCTCTTTCCTCATTAGTGTGGTGAGACTGCCAGGTGTATTTTGTTTGTTTGTTTTTTCTGTTTTTTGAGACAGTTTCTGTATAGCCTGGCTACTGTCGTGGAACTCGCTCTGTAGACCAGGTTGGCCTAGAACTCACAGAGAGCTCTTTGCCCCTGCCTCCTGAGCTGGGATTTAAACTGCCTGGCATGTCTTGAATTCTTAACCAGATGAGAAATTATTCAGGAGCTAGCAGGTGCAGGACAAAGTATCACTTGTTAGAACTGAGAAGCTAATGAAAGCATACCAACTGCATCAAATCTTCAGTTAAGTGTATTTGGTAACATCCAACCCTAGAATTAAAGACTTGTTCATCCATTTGTAGCTAGACCAGATAGGCATGGTTTTATATTTATAGTATGAAGGAACAAAGGAAATGCTTCTTGCCCAATGCTGTTTCTTAGGAGAAGGTATTTAATAGATTGGAGGACAGAAGAAGTCAGGAAAGATACTTATGTCAATCAGAAACAGGGAAGCATTTCCCTTTTCCTTCCATCAATGCTTCCTAGGAGTTTAACAAGGTGCTTGGCATGCAGTAGGTGTTTACTCAATACAGTGGCCATAATTAGAGTGATGATTTGAGTAATCCCAGCATCTTCCACTGTGATTCAGCCTGTATATTTTATCTTCCCATGTGTATTATTATTTGAGAAGCAACATGGTTTTTATGTAGTATTATTACTTTTTGAATCAGTATGAGGGAAAATTTAGTAGTTTAAAAAACTTTGCTGTACCTTGTAGAGTTGTTAGTTTTAGACTGCACTAGCAGTTTCTTCTGCAAATGTCATATAACTATGTAGATAGCATAAATTATGCCTATCATTTCTGGGGATTCATAAGCCTCAAGAAAAAAAGTATGGTTTAGCTCAGATGTAAATAACTACAATATCTACTCGTCACTGTAAGTTGCTGTCAGTGGCTGTTAAGCAAACCACGTACCATTGATTAAAGGAAGGTAGCAGTGATCAAAAGGGAAGGAAGACAGACTCACAGCTGAACTTGGCACAGTGCCTTGCATGCGGCAGGTGTTGAGTGCAGTGATGATGAGCCGCCGAATGAGTTCAAGTTTTCCGCCTCTTTGACTAGCACTCGGCTCACACCCCACCTTCCCGAGTGCGCTGTTACTTGAGAAACAGCATGGTTTTCTTTGTAGATAGAGCACATACGAATGTTTTGACTGAGGTCATTTACCCTAGTGTTATTCTTTATTTAGAGAAGCAGTGAGTTGGTGATAGAGCAAAGAGAGAGAATACATAGGAAGGAAGTGTTGGTTATATAAAAAAACTGATCCTTTACATCTGCTTTTGGTTTGTTTTGTTTTTTTTCTTTTTTATCTCTGTGGTCTCTGATCTTTCTATCTTAGGGAGAACTTTACTTCCTGCTTATAAGTTCATCAAGAAGGTGTTTAGTAGCCTTCCAAAATTTCTCTGCATCTGTTTCTTTCCCTTGATATGTCCTTGCTGAGATGTCAGTTTGGTAGCTCTGGTCTTTTAAGAAACATCATAATATCTGTCCTGTCAACACTTCTAGAATAACTAAGGTTTATGTTTTTTCTTAAGAAAAACCTTTATCTTTGCCCCTTTTTCTGATGAATAGTCAGGTGTGCAAGTTTGGTTTTCCAGAGAAGAGCTCCAGACCCCACTATTTTATAGGCTGACCTTTGACACAGGTTATTTTTGCTCAAGGAACTCAGTGTTACTAAGCAGTGCCAGTTTACACTTAACTTGTAAAGCCCTTTTTAGTAGACTTCTAAATGTTTTTGGAGGGTCAATGTAAAAAGTTACCTATTTTTTCCCCATGATGGCCAAATGACATGTTCATCCTGAAAAATTACTTAGAAAATAGAGATATTATAAGGAAGAAAATTAAGATCTTCTGTAGTTTTTACCCACCTAAAATAGTAAGATTTGCGAATTTTGTACGGTTTTATCTATGCTCTTTTCTTTTCACTAATATAGGTTAATGTGCTTAAACAAACATTTCCTATATAATCCTTTTGTAATACTATTTTATAATTTCCTTTTCCCCTATTGCAGCAATATACTTGCATGATTATTTTAAAATATAGATGCTTTTCAGTTTTTGTTGAGATTATGTTCAGATAAGCCCATTAAAAATTGAAAACATGCCGGGCAGTGGTAGCACAGGCCCTTAATCCCAGCACTCAGGAGGCAGAGGCAGGTGGATCTCTGTGAGTTCGAGGTCAGCCTGGTCTACAGAGAGATCCCAGGACAGCCAGGACTGTTTCACAGAGAAACCCTGTCTCAAAAAACAACAACACAAAAAAATTGAAAACATTGTAATTTTTTTTAATTTAATAAACTGTTTAATAACTTCTCTCCCAGCAGCCTGCTGAGAGCACTTTCTAATTCTGTGAAAGATAGCTACCAGAGAGGAAGCTTCCAACCCAATTCCTGCTTCATTTCTCTATGCCTGCCAACCAAACTGTGTTGTCCCTTGAACAACAGGGTCCTATCTAGTTCTGGTGGGCCACCAAGAATGATGGCGGTAGATTGTATTGTTTTGGGGGACTCTGTGGTTTTCCCAACTAACAACTCCTGAGGCAGTATCCCACTCCAGACACTGGGAATTATGGCTTCTGGGAACATTGGTTACCTGTGTAGGGTACCTCCCTTTAAACTTTTGCTTTTTCTTTATACTTTTTAAATTAGTTTATGAAATAGTAGGTTTTCATATGGCTTTTTCATAATTCTTTGTTTTGGTTAACCCTCCTCCTAACCTCTTAACCCCTATTCCTACTTAAACCTTTCTACCCCTAATATTTCTCCTGCCTACTTTCTTTCATATCACATATGTTCTGTTATCTTGCTGTGGAGAGACACCATGACCAAGGCAACTCTTACAAAAGAAAGCATTTAATTGGGGTTTGCTTATAGTTTCAGAGGTTTAGTTCATTCTCATTATAGTGGGAAGCATTATGGCATGCAGGCAGACATGGTGCTGGAGAAGTAGCTGAGAGTTCTACATCTGATTTTGCAGACAGCAGGAAGAGAGATGTTGGGCCTGACTTGGGCTTTTGAAACCTCAAAGCCTGCCCCCACAGTGACATACTTCCTCCAACAAGGCCACACGTATCCCAACAAGGCCATGCTTCCTAATCCTTCTTAAGTAGTGCCACTTTCTGATGACTAAGCATTCAAATATATGAGTCTGGGGGCCATTCTTATTCAAACCACCACACCATCCTCACTTTAGGCATCCTTCCAGCTTCACATACCAGTGACCCCTCTTTAGCTTTCTCACCTTTATCAGCACCCCAAGTTAAACACACAAACCTAAAATGATCAGAAGACAATGAATTTTCAGTTCACTTAGAAATTGAATTAGTAAGCCACAAATTTATTTATTGGCTCAATATTCTTTTTCTTATGATTTGGGTATTATCATTCATTCTGGTATCTTCTAATATGATGGTAAACAAATATCTCCATGTTTAAATTTCTTCCTTTTGTTTTAGAAATTGAATATTTTTTTCAGTCTTTTTCATTATCTGAGGTAAATTTTTTATGGTGCATTTTTTGCTTATTCCCAAGGGTTATGTATGTATATTTTGAAATGGAGTAGAATTTTATTTTGTACATTAAGTGGCAGGGTATGCTTTTTATTGTTTATTGTATGTGTTTATTTGTTGAGCCTGATATTTCACTTAGCTAGGTATTTTTAACTATTAATATAAGGAATTAATTAATTAATTAGTAAAGAAATCCATGCTTGCTAGAACATTTTCCTTGTGTAATGTCTAAATAAAAAGGATGGGCATCAATAATGCTTGTTTGTATGTTAAAGCACCTAATTTGGCTTAACTGCTTCTTTACATACATTAGCTCTTGACCGTGTTCTCCATGAGGTATGTTTGAATATGTAAAATACTATAACTGTACTTACATTTTTACATGTTTTCGCCTGCAAGTTGAAGGCAAACAAAAGGAGATTGCTAATTGAACCTTAGAAGAGAACATGCTTTAATTTTACTGTTTTCTTTTGATGTGATAAAGCGCGTGCTTTTATTTTACTGTTTTTAGAAGAAAAACCACAGTGAAGACGTTGTGTATCTACGCAGACTATAAATCTGATGAAAGCTACACTCCAAGCAAAATCTCAGTCAGAGTAGGAAATAATTTTCACAACCTTCAAGAAATTCGGGTATATCTTTTAGTTTTCTTTTTTTTAAATGTGTGTTTCTTTAATTCATTCTATAGATGATAGTCATAAAACAAGAAAATTATATTGAAAACTATGCATATAATGTTTATATTCTTTTGAACTGCCATCTTTTTTTCTAATGCTTTATTATGGAATTTTCAGGCATAAGAAAGGATAAAGAATAAAAAATACAGTAATCGCTTCACCTTTGGAGTACTTTAATGTTTCACTTATATTTGCTTTATTAAAATTATTTTTTAATTCACCAAAATAAGTTTATAGGCTCCTAATGCCATCTAGGGTGTGGGTACATGTTCCTTTTCTCTGCTGACTAAAAGAATTAAAAGGCAGGAAACAAGTGTTCCCAGAAATCTTGGCAAGTCCTGGTGGTTTGATTGAAGGATTTGGTCTCTGTATTCACAGTGCTGATTGATAGGCCAGAATTTGCTCCTGCCATCTGTTCATTGCCTTCTGATCACCTCAGGTCCTTTGCACCTCCTCTCTTTTCTTATTTTCTGCTTAGGCAACTTTCCCAGTAATGTGTGTTGATCTTAATCTTTATCTTTGGCATAAAGCTTTATGATTACCACAAGTTTTATATAAAAGATTTTATACTTGTAATGGCTATTTACTGTAAACTAGTAACAACTTACCTGTGATTGCGTAATTTTACTTTACTGCTTCATGTTTTGTTTTGATGCCAACAAATGTATGCCTTTGTAGTTAGAATCCTTGTGTTTTCTTGGGGAAAACAAGAGAAACAAATGTTCTTCGTGCTAGGTAGGTGACTTAGTTAGAGTTGCTATTGCTGTGATGAAACACCATGACCAAAAGCAACTTTGGGAGTAAAGGGTTCCTTTTGTTCACAGTTCTATATCACAGTTCATCATTAAAAGCAGTGAGGCAGGAACTCATGCAGGTTAGGAACCTGGAGGCAGGAGCTGGTGCAGATACCATGGAGGGATGTTGCTTACTGGCTTGTTCCCATGGCTTGCTTAGCCTGCTTTCTTACAGACCCCCCAGGACCACCAGCTCAGGGCTGGCACCACGTGCAATTAATCACTAATTAAGAAAATGCTCTACAGGTTCACATACAGCCCACCTTTATGGAGGCCTTTTCGCAATTGAGGTTCCTCCTCTCAGATGACTGTAGCTTGTGTCTAGTTGACATAAAACCAGCCAGCACAGTAGGGCAGTGAGAATGCACCAAAGAAGCTATTCCATCCAAGTCCAGCTTAGTTCATCAGTGAGTGTTGGGAGTTACTTCCAGAAGCACGCTGATTCAGAAGCAGCTGTATCACTGAAAGGCCCTTCCCAGCGAGGGATTGGTGTCACCTTGTTTGATTGACTCTAGTTAGAGATATTTGACCTTTGTGATCCTGGATTTTTGTCTTTCCCCAGATTTGGAAAGACAAAAATCTTATATATTAAAAATTTAAATTTATGTGATTTTAATGTGAATTATTTCTTTGTGTGCGTGTGTGTGTGTGTGCGTGTGTGTGTCTGTGTTATTGTATGCATACATGTATAGGGGAGTTTGTGGAGGCTAGAAGAGGGTGTCAGGTCCCTGGTGTGAGCCTCTGGACTTGGGTGCTGGATCCAAACTCTGGTCCTCTGGAAGGACGACAGCAAGTGCTTTCAAGCCTGAGCATCTCTCCAGCCTGTTGTGAGTCCTTCAAAGGAGCCCGCTGCCTGTCCTGCTGCTGGAGCTCCCGCTGCCTGTCCTGCTGCCGGAGCTCCGGCTGCCTGTCCTCCTGCCGGAGCTCCGGCTGCCTGTCCTCCTGCCGGAGCTCCGGCTGCCTGTCCTCCTGCCGGAGCTCCGGCTGCCTGTCCTCCTGCCGGAGCTCCGGCTGCCTGTCATAAATTTTGCAAGCTTTTTTCAGGAATTTGCATGGTTTTCCTTTTGCGGTATAATTTCGTGGATTCTTTAGATTATTTCTGCTCTTGTGCATTAAAAGTTTTTATTTGTATTTTTCAGCTCTAGAATTTGTTTGATTGGAAAAAAAAACTTCCACTTCTTACATTTCTAATTTTTTTTAATTGTACTTTTTTTTTAAATTTTATTTATTTATTTATTATGGATACAGTGTTCTGCCTGCACATATCCCTGCAGGCCAGAAGAGGGCACCAGATCTCATTACAGATGGTTGTAAGCCACCATGTGGTTGCTGGGAATTGAACTCAGGACCTTTGGAAGAGCAAGCAGTGCTCTTAACCTCTGAGCCATCTCTCCAGCCCCCTAATTGTACTTTTTTAAAAATTATTTTTTTTCTTAAATCTTCTTGAGTTTTCTTAAAGCAGTTAGTTTGAATTTCAGGCAGTTTTAGGGCACTCCATTTCCTCGGTGCCAGTGGTGCTTTATTTTGTTCCTGTGCTTGTAGTATTTCATGGATTGTTCTTGATTCCTATGTCATGATCTTACTGTCTGTGTCCTTGAAGAAGAAGGAAATTATTCCATTCTTTGAAGACTGCCTGGGAAAGTCCGTCACTGGCCAGCCCATCTCGAGACTTCTGGGAAGGACAGCTGAGGTGCTCCGTGGGTGTATTTGCACTGGAGTCCTCTGGGAGTCTGGCCTGCTTCCAGGAGACGAGCTGGTGTGTAGTCTGGTGTCTTCCTAGAAGTGGAGCTTGTTTTTATGAAGGACAGCTAGAAGTCTGTGTCTACAGGGCTGACTGACATAACTTTGTGGTAGTCTTGTTCATGAGTGTGTAAGGGCTTCTCATGTGCTAGGATAGACCTGATGCCTGGGCCCATTGGAGACTACCACATGCTGGGAAGGACTTGTTGCCTATTGGAATAGACCTGGAACCAAAGTCCACGGGAGTCTTCCCACTGCTAGGGCACTGAGTTAATCTGATTCCTAAGTCCAGAGGGCCATGCCTAAAACCTGGATTTATAGTAATGACTATGGAACCTCAGTCTTTGGATGCTGCACTGGTGTCAGTCTTTTGGGATAGACTTGGATCCTGAGTATGTTTGACCAAGTCTGGTCTGTAGGGTTACTAGAGCCTGAGTTTACAGGATTCTTTATAGAATTGGTTTGTAGGTGCAGGTTAAATCTGCAGGGTTTTGCTTGCAGCCTGTAGATGTGGTCTTGTTGCATGGACTTGTGACTGCCAGACTAGTCTGCTATCCACCTATTCCTTCAGCCATTGTCTGTGGATGCCAGCCCACACAGCTTTGCTTCATAGCAGGGTCAGCAGGTGCTAGCCTAATGAATACGATTTTGGGAAGGATGGTACGATGCTGGGGCAGGACTGACGACGCCTTGGTCCATGGGATCCAGCTTGTTATTGGGACACTGTAGAGCTCAGAGATGCCAGGGCTGTTTTAGGACTAAGTCTTTGGAGACTAGAGTGGTAATGGGGTAGGCCCAGATCTAAAGTATGCCAGGCAGGTCTGAAGCCTAGGATCTGTCCCTATACAATGCACGCTTGATGAGTAACCATGAGTACCGGCAGTCAGGAGCTGTGGTGTCTTGCCTTGTGCTGGCCTTTCATTGATTGGGCTTTACATTAGGGTCTGAGGCAAAGTCCAGGCAGAGTTCATCTCTTCTCATTGTGCTGCTCAGGATTATGGGAAGAGCGACAGGAGTGATACAAAACTGCCCTTCCTATCCTGTTTGATATACTGCTACCCTCATACCCAGGTTCTGTAATCTCACCTGGCTCGCTTACTGGCTTCTGCAAAGGTATTTTTGTTACAGGTGTAGAGAGTTGGTCTAATTGACAGGCAGAGTTCCATTTTAACATTTTGCTTATGTCAGGACTTGTTTGTTTTTTGAAACACCTAGCTGGTCAGAATATGTATTCTGTTACTTTCCTTTTGTTTTTAAAACAGGGACTTCCCACAATGCTGAGACTAGCCTAGAACTAATACCCTCCTACCCCATGCCAAGATTACAGGTGTGTGCTAGCACACTTGGGTTACTTTACTTTTAAAGGATTTTCCTTGAAAAATAATTTTAGTTTTTGAAAAATTACTATCAATAATATACATTTTTTTTAGTTTGAAATATTGTCTGACATCATTATGCACTTTTTGTTCTTGAATGAATTCACAAATAAATCAGCTGGTTTCTTTTTGGGGGTGGGAGGATGTTTTGAGACAGGGTTTTTCTGTGTAGCTCTGGCTGTCCTGGAACTCATCTTATAAACCAGGCTGGCCTTGAACTCAGAGGTCCACCTGCCTCTGCCTCCTGAGTTCTGGGGTTAAAGGCGTGCGCCACCACCGGTTGGCTTTGCTCTAATGTTTCTTAATTCAAAATATCTTGATTTTTAAAATCACAGTCTCATTTGATCAGTTGATAGCCTTCCTTTAGTCATTTATCCAGTACACTTAATGAGTGCTTTGTGTTATGAAGACATTTAGTTGTATGATTTTGTTACATAGTTCATATTTATCAGAATGGACTGCTTGTGTTGAGAAGCTTTTTTGGGGAGAAGCTCTCCTCATTTGGGGTTATAGGTAAAGGTTGTCCTAGGGTGAGCACTAGAAATAGTCTGGTCTAATGGACGGAGTTTGAAATGCCCACTAGATGTCACTGTTGGCTTTCACTTTCTAGGCTTACTTGCTAGTCATCTGCTCAATGCTTCAACTAGCCTTAGTTGTAGTTTTTCCTAGAATATATTCACTTTTATTAAAAACAAATCTTTGATGCATTTTGGGAAGTGTCCATCCTCATACAAGTTCTCTGTACTTATGAGGATGTCTTGTATTCTCTCGTAAGGTTGACAGTACAAAATAAGGGTTTTGAGAGTTTAATAGGAGAGACTTTAAATGATATTTGGATCTTAAGGTAAACTTTAATATCTTTTCTTTGCTGCTGTTGTTTAAATGCTGAAGCATTAACTGTTTAGCAAAGATAGTCTTACAGGTAGTTTCTTAGTTTTCTCTTGTATATTTCTGATTTCTTGACTGATTTTTTTGGTTTTTTGAGACAGGGTTTTCTCTGTAGCTTTGGAGCCTGTCCTGGACTAGCTCTGTAGACCAGGCTGGC